AATTTATTTTTGTGTTTGAAACTGTGTTTTAATATATTTTAAAAATATACTTAACTTGAAAAATACATCAAATATACATTCTTTAGTGTTTTTTAATATTTTTAATATAATAATGCGAAAAATAACATAAAACCTGAAAACAAAAATTATTTATGATAAAAAAATTTGACGAGTTTTGTTCAATTTAGACAATATTAAAAAAGAAATGAAGTTTTGATTGTTAATCAGCTAGATTGTTGTTATTATTATTATTATTATTATTGCTGCTCTATTATTATTATTATTTTATTATTGTTATTATTATTATTATAATTTATATTGTTGTTGTTCTTATTACTTTTAATATTATTATTATTAATAATATTGTTATCATCTGTATTATTGTTATTCTTATTAGTAAAAATTCCAACGATTTAGCTTTATGTATATCCATGTATAATATATAATAATATAATGGGGCCAACGTCTAAATCAAGGAGGGAAAAATTTGAACTCATAAAACTACTAATGGTTATTTTGAATATTTTGAAAACATCTCCCTTTTCTTCTATGTAAGTCCACCCTTTCTCATCTATGTTGGTATTGTTTGTTTTTGCAATGTAAAAATACTTTTGAAATTATTATTTTTTGCTTCAAGTTAAGTTTTTAATGTTTTTACATTACTTTAATTTGCTGATATTAAAAATAAATTTTAAAAAATAAAAAATTATTATTTTGATATTTTTTTTCAAATAAAAAACACTTAAAAAAATTACTATTACAATATTAAATAATCTCGTATAAATACCGCCCAAGTTGACACAAGTTTTGGCTATGAAACGTAATTACAGTGAAATGATAATGAAGTTAATAATGACTCAAGAGAACTTTGTTTTTTTTTCAAAATAATATATAGTTAGAATATAGTATTGTAGTTAGTATATTCACAAGTAACATGTCTTCAATTTATCAACTTTACAATCTAATTTATGATATATGCAAGCTAAAAAACAAAAAAAAAATCCAATATAACATAACACCTTTCATTGCTATGAAGTCCATTTGCAGTCTCGAAATACTTAAAAAACTCCATAAATTTTAGCCTAGAATATATAATCTCACCACCATTTTAAAGCTGATTTCCCACCATTTCACTTCATTTGTAGCCTGTGTTTGGTTGGCCGTTCTCCCAAATAAGCTCTTAATAGCATAAGATTTTGTAGTAGCATTATCACATGTCATGTGTTGAACGAAATTCCGATCAAGATTAAAATTGGCAAGATAAAAAAAAAAAAAAACGGTATAAATATTAAAAATTCTTAAATATCAATCTCTCCAGCTTGAAAAAATCTTGACCATGCCCAAGAAAAAAAAATATTTTGATTAAAACGGCATTAGCAACTTCATCACACAATTGTTTATTTGTATAATTAAATTTGGTAGTATCCATATATATGAGCTCTTTCAAAAATCTTTGCTTTCCAAAACGACCATCTCACTATTTGATATTTTCTTAATTTTCCGGTCCATAGAGCCAACAATATAAATAAAAGTTTCGACTATTTTTTTTTTTCTAAAACCATATTGTAAAAATATCTAAAGTTTATTCAATATTCTCTTTTAACTCTAGCAAGATCACATATGTCTTCTATTTTATCAATTTGACTTGAATCCTAACCTGTATCAAGTACGCTAGTTTGAGAATTAATATGAAAAAAACGTTTGTTAGTTTCTTTTTTTTTTCTGTAATAAAAGTTTTTTGATTTTAAAATTTGTATAAATTTATATTATTCTGTATTTAATTTTTATCAAATAAATATAAATAGTGAAATTTAAATTTATGACCATTAAATTATTAAGATTCTGATACCATATAATAAAATTATCTTAATATAATAGTTTAAACTATTAAATAACATTTATATTATTTTTTAATATTTTTTTATATTTAAAAAGATTACTTTTTCATTACTTAGGCTTTAATTTTAGCTTTTTTTTTTTGGGAGCGCGAACTGAACAAATAGAGATGGGTTAAAATTCAATTTTTTTTATTAAATCACTTATCAAATTAAAAAAATAAAATAAAAATAATTACATAAAAAATAACTTTATCCCTTTGGAGAGATTTAGGCTTCTATTTGATTTTGTAGGCTTGGGTAATCCATGTTTCTTGGGCTTTCATTGCCTTGTATTTCAGACACGGGCTTTCTGTATTAGCAGTTCAAGTTTTTATTTTTTATTTTTTGAAAAGTCCTTGCTGCAAGAGAAAAGAAATTGGGCTGGTGAAATTTTGGGTGATAATGTAAATTAGCTATTTCTTACATTGGCCTCAAACTTCCTGAATCGAGGGACTAAACTGCAATTATAGGAAAAAAGGAAAAGAAAAAGCTGAAGACTACAGAGTTTCTCGTATCATCGTACTCCATTACCAGAGAGCGCTACTAGATCTCACACGGCAAAACGCGAAGCCAGGGTCTCAATTGGCGAGCCCTTTTTTCTATTTTTTTTCTTCCTCTTTCACTTCTAATAACGAAGCCCAGTTTCCTTTTCTTCTATCTTTGATTTCTCGTTTAGGTTTTACGCCATAGTTTTATTTTTTAGCTGTAAATAATTGTGATTCCACTCCTGGTCAATGTTTTTTGTGTCGATTGTAGGCTTAGGATGAAAATAATGAATCAGAGTCTTAAAATTAGAACCCCCATTTCATAATTTTCAATATGTGCTTGTTTGGTTTGTTAAAGTCATGATTTTCAATTCTGGGTATGTAAAATCAAGAGCATTTAAACAAAAAAAAATTGAGATCAGCATTGGTTACTTGGTTGAACTGTATGATTTTAATTTTTATGGAAAATTGTTTTTGTAACAGGGAGAGATAGGTGATGATGGATGGTGGAGTGCCAAATATAAAGAAATGGGTGGTGTTATATCCTGTCTACATTAACTCAAAGAAAACAATAGCTGAAGGGAGGCGGATTAGTGCAGAAAAGGCGTGTGAGAACCCTACTTGTGTTGAGATTGGTGATTGTTGTGGCCACCTCAAACTTCCATTTGCAATTGAGGTTTGTTTTGCAATCCACAGTTTTTTCTTTTTTATTATTAGAGCTTGTGATTGCTGTTTGTTTGTGATTTATGATGCGTCTTGGATGTTCTAGATTGATAAGGCGTATCCGCGAGATTTCATGCAAGTAGGGAGAGTGAGAGTATTGCTGAAAAGAGAAGATGGGAGTTTATGTAATCCTGCAATTCCTTCCCGTAAGCATACTTCACCGTTGTTTCTGTTTATCATATGATTCTGATATTTCTTTTGGCTTCTTTTTCATTAATTATCCTTTTCCTTTTCTTTCTGAGATCTGCGTAAATTGATGGATTTGTACATATAGTTTTTTCAACACTTAAATTTAAGTGTATTGGTATTGATCAAGTGTGATTTTGTCAATCTTTTATGCCTATTACATTGAATTATGCCTCACCATTCTTCTTCTTCCTCTTCTTTATTTTAACAAAGATAACTATTTTCATGAGTTGCTAGTGTTGAAGTAATTCCATATTTGTTATGCACAAGGATTGTTATGGCTTTCAATAGTTTATAGCCTCTTCAAATAGTGGCTTTTAAGATCCAAAAGAAATCAAACTTCCTTTCTGTTAATTCTGGTACTTTCCTTCCTTTTTCATGAATCCATATGTATTGGTGAATTCAACAAAACTTATATAAGATTTTTCTTTATACTTCCCATATGACAGTTTATTTTTATATTTGCCACATTCTCATTGGCACCTCCACCTGTCTTGTAGACTCCTCTTTATTTTGTTCTCTAATAATCCTTGAAGTGAAATATTTGCAATTAATTCTAAAGCGGATAACATGTAGGGGACTCAATGGTATCATTTAAGTGGTCCTAATTTCCAAGGGACAGTAAATGTTGATATGCGTATTGGTTTCTGTTACTCTGCACAGAGACTTTTCAAGAAGGGATTTTGACACAAATTTAACCAATCTAAGAATGTATATTTAGTATGTTATGGTGTCATTGACATCTAGTATTGCATAAGACTAGTTTCTGCTAGGGATCCATCACTTAAGAGCTGAACTGACCTTTATATTGGTGTTGTTTTAATTGATGATGTTGTGGACACCTCTTGCATGTTAATGAGTGATTAGCAGTATTTACATGAAATACCAGTGCTCCACTTGGTGATCTGGACGGTTTGATGATTGTTCCCTTTTAGTTTAGTTGAGAAATTTGAGAGCTGCCTCTCATCCTGATATGCCATGGCACTGTACTTCATTGACCTGGAGGAAAAATAGGAGTGTATTTTTGTCACCTCTATCAAGAAAGTAAAGTAGGGGGGGAAATAGAAAAAAGGAAAAATAGGGGTGCATTTTTGTCACCTCTATCAAGAAAGTAAAGTATAAGGTGAAAAAACAATTAAAAATCAGCTCAAAGTTGGATGGGCTGATGCCACTTATATATGAGCGTCTGTCCTACCTTTCATATGTAATGGATTTGAAACTTCGCCTTATTGCAGGAAAACAGCTTATGTTCCATGTTGCAGAACTGGTACCTAGACATCCTGGGAGGACCAAAAAGCAGGAGCCTGCATCCACGGCAAATGTTTCAACATCCAAGTCTGGGAAGGGTGGGAGAAAGAAAAGATAGCCTTCTTCATGAGAAAAAGGATAAGGTTTGGTTTGCAACTAGCTGGTAAAAAATTGACTTTTTTCATTCTTATCATGAAAAAATTTGGATGAGAAGGGGGTCCTTTTCTGATGAATCGAAGAGCTAAAATTCCAGAATCTTGTGTCACAACAAATTATCTGTTCATGCACGCCCTTTTTACCCAAGTCTATCCACAAAGTGAATTTGTATGCAAGTCTTTTCACATGGTGAAAAGTGAGGTCTTGATTCAAAATAATCTGGGTTTGCTGTTATATGGTATGCATTTCTTTTGCTGGAGTTGTTGGTTTCATGGCCTTGCTTAGCATTAAGAAATATCTAGTGTAACCATAAGAAAATGTCATAGAACAGACTGCCCACATTCTTGGCCCTTAAGGAGAAAATGTACGATCAACTTGATCAATGGAACCTGACTTTGTCACAGAAAAAGTATGATCAATTGTTTTGTTTTGGGTGTTGGAATAGTGATTGGTAGATGGCCCAAGTATCACAGCTATGACATGCTTATTTTAAAATCTTTTCCTGAAGTACATCTAGTTGGTTTCCAGGTATGAAATCTTCAGCTTTACTGTGGCATGCAGTAAAATGTCTTTTTTTACCTGAAGATGACCTGCTAATTAGTTAGGGACTATGGAATTGGGACGGGGTATCTGCATTTAATTTTTTTCACATTGGCACGAATTGCTTTTGACGCGTAAATTTGGTGTCATGTTGTAGTTCTAGTCGTGTTATAATGCTGAGTCTAGCATCGCCATTCCTCTGGAGTCTGAAGCTGGTAATATGCATAACAGAGCTTTGTCTATTGCAGGAACATAGTTCATTGCAATCGGTGAACCTGGAATACAGAGCATGGAACCTTCACATAACTCATGTTGATCTGTGATTGTACACAGTTTTGAAAACCCCATTTAAGGATCAGAGAAACTAATCTGGTGTGACTGAGCTCTTGGATGTGATGATACTCGGATATCACTGAAATGTCTCGTCGCCCCACTTGGCTAGTGAAAACTTTTTTTTTTTTTTGCCCCTGAACTCCTTGCAATCCTTGAGGAGAAAATGTACGATCAACTTGATCAATGGAACCTGACTTTGTCACAGAAAAAGTATGATCAATTGTTTTGTTTTGGGTGTTGGAATAGTGATTGGTAGATGGCCCAAGTATCACAGCTATGACATGCTTATTTTAAAATCTTTTCCTGAAGTACATCTAGTTGGTTTCCAGGTATGAAATCTTCAGCTTTACTGTGGCATGCAGTAAAATGTCTTTTTTTACCTGAAGATGACCTGCTAATTAGTTAGGGACTATGGAATTGGGACGGGGTATCTGCATTTAATTTTTTTCACATTGGCACGAATTGCTTTTGACGCGTAAATTTGGTGTCATGTTGTAGTTCTAGTCGTGTTATAATGCTGAGTCTAGCATCGCCATTCCTCTGGAGTCTGAAGCTGGTAATATGCATAACAGAGCTTTGTCTATTGCAGGAACATAGTTCATTGCAATCGGTGAACCTGGAATACAGAGCATGGAACCTTCACATAACTCATGTTGATCTGTGATTGTACACAGTTTTGAAAACCCCATTTAAGGATCAGAGAAACTAATCTGGTGTGACTGAGCTCTTGGATGTGATGATACTCGGATATCACTGAAATGTCTTGTCGGCCCGTTTGGCTAATGAGAACTTTGTTTTTTTTGGTTATCTTGCTCTGTTGTGCTTTTGGATTATCACTAAAGCTTTTATACAATCAGAGAGCAGCATGCACGTGAGACGATTTTCCTACCTTGTGATCTATACTGTTGTGGATATTTAGCTGCGGCTGTCTTCTTTTTCTCATCTTTTCTCTGCGTGTCCAATAATATAGCAGTCGAAAACAGAAGGCCACGTTGTGTTCTCTGGTTCCCTGCATGTCCACCACCACCACCTCCTCCTCCTCCTTTATCACTTTGACCAATTGAGCATCTGCTTTCGATTCCATCTAACTGTATACAACTTGGAAATGGAAAACAAAATCCTTGTCAAGTACAAAAATTCCTGTGAAAATCGAACAAAATCCTTGTCAAGTACAAAAATTCCGAGCAAAATGAGCCATTTATTTTTCCCCACTCATTAAACCATGATGATGAAAGTTTCGTTCCTACCCAAGGTGTATTAATATATCTTTGCCGGCTTTCTTTCCTCTCCATAGCCATATCACATGATTTGCATGCTTCATTTAAACCTATTCCATATGCCATTCAAAGTCCAACACTTCAAGCATGTTAAGTAATGGATTTTTACGAATTCTATGCGTGGTTACCATTGCCGCACTCAGTAATGAAAAGACACTCGTGAATGTAAATAAATAATACAAGAAATCAATTATTATAGTATGAGAATAAAAAAATTATAGTATTGAAAATAAATATTTTTGATAAAAAAAATCATAATTACACTGAAAAATTAATAACTAAAAATTTAAATCAAATAAGTTATGATTTTTTTAATAATAGGAGAGTTAAATAAATTGTTAGATATTATAGGTGATCTTCAAATATAAATATAAATAAATCAATTATTGTATTAAAAAAATTAAATTGTTTATTTTATTTTATTTAGAATTATAATTTAAAACTTATTAGGGAATTTAATAAATCGCATATATAAGAGTTACTGGTCACAAATTAAAATAGAATAATTAATCAAAAGTGACTTGATTACACATAGGTTTTAGAAATAGAGGACTATAATGTAATTAATGCATGAGATTATAATTTAGATTTAGAAAAAATAATAAATTTCTAAAATTATTATAAAATACTATATATATGATATAATTTAAAAGGCATTTTGTTAACTAGACGGTTTGATTTAATTAAATACCAGAGTGGTGGTGGAAAGAATACACTACACCAAAGGCATGAAGATAAGGGTAACATGATGCAATGAAAAAAAAAAGAAAAAAAAAAGAGAGAGAGGATGGGCTTAGTGCACTTCATAGAACCAAGTCTTTCAAATCTAAAAATTCATTTTTCTGGATTACTATGCATCAATCACACACTCCTCCTGGAGCCATGCTGGTAATGTTTCAGAAGAAACCTGGCCAGATATACACAATTTCCCTTCAACTTTTCCTTGTTAATTTATATCTGTTTTACTGCATGCGCAGAACTTACCCCGATGGTTTTAGCTGAAGTGCTTGCCAAAGAGTAAAATGAACATTATCCCTTGTGTACAAGATGGCTGGACTGCATCTACTCTAGCAGATCATCTGAAAGTTGGTGTGTTTGTGTATTCGAAATGATGAAAGTGGTGGGGGCACACTTAGAGTTCAAATTCATACTTAGTCTGTGAATGCTCTAGTTTTTTTTGACTTGTTAATGCCTTGGAGAAATGACTTTAGGCCGTGAGTTATCTCCATCATATTCATATTGATTTTTTGAAGGCTAAAAACACTGTGAAACCAACTGATCCTTGTAGAATGCTGTGCTTCAGGTTGGAGATTCCATGGATGAAGGACCAAATTTGGAGTGGGAGTATGTGCATAGAAATCACTAAACCTGACAGGTCACCATCTCCTAGCAACCATCTCTTGACAGAGACACAAACATTTATTAGTAATGAAGACTTTCAGCCCACTTGCTGCTCCTCATCTTTGACCTCGTATGATCAAAGATGAGGACCAAAGTGAGCTGAAAGTCTTCAGTAACTATTCAAGCACATTTGGTTTGTCTAAATTGCAATTTTACTTTTTTGGTGATTCTCTTTCAATCATTTGCTACGTTTTTTCTTTCAATCTGTTTTATCAATAAGTTGTTCTTGAATCGTGATGCCTTATAAGACAAGCTTTTCAACAAGCCTAAGATATGTTCTGGAATAATAGTGTGGATTGGTATTGGTGCTTCAAGAAAACTCTTCTGTGAAAAGACCTCTCCTTTGTGTCTATGAAAGCTGACAATCTTGTACAATCTAGGAGAATTGCTTTTGTAACTTACAAGGATTAAGGAGGCTTCATCTAGACAAGTTGAGGGACCACATTTTGTTTGTTATGAAATAAATTGTTTTTGTCCGTTTTTGTTAATGATCAGTGCCTTGTCAATTGTTGAGGAAATATAAAATTCAAAGTTGTTGAATTGCAATTAAAACTTAAAAAAAAAAACCTAAGTCGTGTGTTTTTTTTCTTTTTACTGT